TATAAGCTGTGAAACTCGGTCCTCATCTTCTCTATCTTTGTCTATTGTGAGACTACTGTTCATTGTGTGTGGGAGTACGATGCATGGCATGTACACACTTGCGTGAGATGGTCCCCAGGACCCATGCATACTTCGTGATTTTGCAACTTGGCTTTCTGCCTATCGCTCTCACTCATATTCCTTGCAGATCCAAAAACATACCACTTGTTACTTAGACGATAGATTCCTTTCCCTTCCAACATCAGTAGGCCATGCTGGTTGTAGTGGACCTCCTGCATTGCACAGTAAGCAACACACAATAAATTATTGAATAAATTATTGAATGCAATCAATGAATTAATACAAGAAGAAGAATTCGCAGAGAGAGAGAAACCAAGCAAGAGCTCACCAAGATCAAGCAGCAGCACCAGGTTGACTACGGGTCAGTAGGGCGTGACCAGTGCAACCGAAACTATCTACATCATCAAGATTCCCATTGTTCTCTGTGTCGAATGGGACGCCCGACCCGCTTTCCAGCAGGTGCGGCTCCCCACAAACAGATCGGAGCAACTCGATGAAATTCTTGGAGAGGATGCTCTTATCACCTCTCCTAGTATGTTCGGTCCATTTTTGCTTTGAAAAAAAAAAAAAAAAAAAAAAAAAAAGTCTCCACTTGAAACAGGAGGATCAGCTTGGGCTCTGGTGAACTGGTGGTCTAGGGTGAAAAAAGTACAAATACAAGTCAAAGAACTTAAGTAACAGAAACCTGCTCCACAAGATTGGGGGTGGGGGGGTGAGGGGGGGGAGAAGGTTCCATTTTGGTCCAATTTTTGGATTGTAGCTGAAGTGACAAGGGTCAGATGAAATGATGAAACACACAAAGGTGATCAAAAAGTTCGAAAAGATTTTGAAATTTGAATTGATGCCAATTTGATCAATTTTTTAATTTTATGGGAATATAAGCGTGAAGTTGTTGCCGTAAAGAAATTTGATATTAAATTATTAAATCATTTTAAATGGTTAAAAAACCGTTAAATCAATCGATTTTTTGTGCATTTTCACATGCAGAGATGTTATAAAAACTTATTAAAAAGAGATCACCGAGACGACAAGTTTTTCCAAAAAAATGTACATGCTATCTATGTCCTTGTAGGGTGCTTTGATCCCCTTTTTGCAGCGCTTCGTGTTCTTAAATGAAGAAATGAAGAAATGAAGATATTTATAAACACCGATAAAGAATAGAGTGACAACGTTCACACCCTATTACCATGTGACTGCGCGAGTCCTCTTCGAACGGTACGAGATAGTCACCTATCATACGGCTCTCCAACATAACTTACTTCAGATTAGGGTAGAATCGGTATATACTATATAGATATTTCTGGATATAGGCCCCTTAGGCCCCTTCCTCCAGTCTCATCCATTCATGGCAAGGGAAATAAATAAAAAATTAAAAGCTCAAGCTGGCTGCCTGGAATAAACACATCCCAAGATCGCTGCTCGTCCAATCACCAGGCCATCTGGTAGTCCCCAAAAAAATGTGGCTGGGTGCAAGGAAAATGCATATTACACGGCGTAGTACACACACTGTTGCCCTCAGCGGAGGGTTAAATAGAGTAAAAAAGAAAAACTGCAACCTGGACGTCATAAGGATCCAAACCCTCCTAGCCACCCCACACGCGGGCCACTGACCTCGTCTCGTAAAAGTAGGCAGGTTTTATACTCACCAATGTCACCATGCAATTTCATGCTTCATGCTCATCTCGGCATATCTGGGAGGGGAAGGAGGGTCGAATGCATGCGTGTGTGTGTGTGTGTGTGTGTGTGTGTGTGTGTGTGTGTGTGTGTGTGTGTGTGTGTGTGTG